CGACCGAATCGTACATTGTAACGTTTGATAGCCGAAGAGGTTCGACTGTGCCCCGAGAGCGCAGCCAGGAGTGTGTGGTTACAAACCACTTACAACACGGCATATAATAGAGATCTATATAGGCCTATATAAAAGAGATTCAATAGTTATAAATATAATAAACACATTTACACTATATATATATATATATATATATATATATATATATATATATATATATATATGTAAGTGGTTATTTCACCGTGTCTGTGAGCCTGTAATATTAAGGAAGGCCGCATGTCTCGGGGCCATGATCTTTGCGTCAGCGGACCGCAGTGGCTAATTGCGCGATCGCGCGGAAGAGTATGTAAATGCATTGCGTTAGCGCGCCATTGGTCGATAAGTAGTGCAAATCGGGCTCATAGAGGCGCATCATGGCCAATAATTGCACATTACACGGGCGCCATGATTCAAGTGAGGAGGCGCGATAAGTCTGTTATACCAACGGCTATTAAACATCGGCCAACTGTCGCAGGCGCGATGACCAGCCCAGCGGCGCTGCGATCTCACACTATGTTGTAACCGACGTGCCTCGAGGCAATGATATCGTTTCATGAAACTCGCGGTCGGTGATATCACTAGATGGTAGTTTTACGCGTATGATTTCACTCGTATAGTGTAAGACTTCGTCCCTACTTACAGTACGTGGTGCCTTGAATATATATCATTCACTCCTGATTTTACTACACCCTAAGCGATGCATTTCTGCACGAATTCCTCATCTTTGTGGCGTAGATAACGTATATACAAGGCGCGGGAACGGTGAAAGGCGTTCATATAGTCGCCATCTTGAATTTGCTTGCGTGCGCTTTTTAGTTACGCACGCTCCTAAATAAAACCGACAAAGCCGAATATACTGCGAGAGATCGAGATTTCTCACGGCTCACAAGCCAGCAAGATCAGCGGTCCCCTCTGCTCTCGCAAAAACAAACACGCGCCATTTACGTACAACAATGCGTGCAAACCTGCATCCGCGCAATGGCAACTGTCAATATTATGGAGTCGCATCTATGTAGGTTATAAATCCCGCACACCTGTGGACGCGTACGCATCTCGGGCGATCGGTGAAAGTTGTGTCCGTTAATGCGGTGCGGGAAAGTGTACATACATTTGATGGCGTATTTACACATCACCTGCTCGTTGACAGTTAGGGAGAGTTTAGGGGAGACTTTTCCCGTAGGGAGGCACACCACAGGTGTTCGATCTAGGTTAAGTACCTATAGAGGCCGGTCACGGCGAAGAAACAACTGTCTGCCGTGTTTAACAGGATGTATCTTCAGTGATAGAGGACCACTGCGGCATTGCATGCGTGCAGTCTCACGCCGCTTAGATTACCTGTAACAATCCAGCTTCCTGCAGAGCAGATAGCTTTTATTGAAAGACGTAAACGTAAATTTCAGTGATTATTATTTCATATAAATAGGTATATATCAAGAGTCCATATAAGAAGTCCATATCAAGAGTCCATATAATAAAGAGAGAGAGAGCGCGCTGCGCGAGAGAGAGAGAGAGCAATGATGGTTCTATTCCAAACGAAAAACTACACATTCTTGTCAATCCCTAAAGTAGAAACGCACAGTCTAATTGTTCGTCGACACTTGCGAACAAGACTCGTCTGCGATTAATAAATTGCTTTATCGCGGTTTGCTCCTCTCGCTGTCCGACTAATCTCTGTTGCAGACGAACTAGTGGCCGCGCGCTGTTGCGAGCATCGGTAACTGAAACAAGCTCGTCGTAAACCACCGTTCGTGAACCGCGCTTCTTTTCTCAATCTCATTTCAGATTGCCCGGGGCGCTTAACAGCCAGCCGCGCCACACGATGGCTGTCTGTCAAGACCGATTTCCGCCGCAGAATCCCTACCCCGGCTTCTCGACGCCGCCGTTCCCGTTCTCCGCCTTCTATCACGCGAATCCGTACCTCGCGATGAAGCCACCGGCGCCCGCATTCAGCGGTTCCGAGCTCAGTCCGGCCAGCTCGACGACAAGCGGCAGCACGGCGGGGGCTCCTCCTCCATCACGCCTCACGCCCCGTCGCGACGTCCGCGAGAAGAGGGAGATCGCCGACGGCATCCTAGGATCGCCGACGGCAGCAGCAGCAAGATACGCGGGCGACGGAGGCAGGCAGTCGTTCGCGTTCTCCCGACAGGAGCTGGACGTCGTGCTGTACGGGTACACGAAGGCGGAGGCGTCGCACGGTGGCCATGCTGTGTCCTGCGTCCGGATTGATGGTTTGTATCGCCAACGGCCACGTTCCTACCTCTATATACATCCACTTCCTCGTAGATCGCTCTAGAGGTTTCTTTCACACACGGTGGAGAGTATATGCAGACGGTCCTTCATCGTTCCTCGTTGTGGAAAGGGCAAGGCTGTTGATGGTGGGAGGGTGGGTGCGCATTGTCCAACCGGAGTTCTTTTTTATTCGAGTCCGCCACACTCATATATTTTAAATAGCGGGTAATAATGTGGAGGTCAAAATATGGCGAACTATTACTGGTAGAGCTGTGGTTCAAAGTAGTACCGGTAACATTCAATCAGTGCGTGTGAATTTGAAATATTTAACGAAACATTCTATAGTTCGATATAATTAATGAATATAATGTAACATTAGTGATCCTACGTTATAATGCGTGAGCTCGTGGGTAATTTCGCATACCGTAGATAAACTCGCACGTGCACACTCCGTACACATTCAGCCGTGCGCGGCAACCCCAACTATCTCTCTCTCTCTCTCTCTCTTTCTCTCTCTCTCTGCCGTCACCGGACGAAGAAACAACTGATCTGCCGTGTCTTAACAGGATAGTATGCTCAGTGAATAGAGGACCATCGGCGGCATTGCATGCGCCTGCAATCTCACTTGCCCGGCTTGATTACCTTGTAACAACTCTAGTCTTTCCTGTCAGAGCAGTAGCTTTTATTTGAAAGACGTAAACGTAAATTTCAGTGATTATTATTTCATATAAATAGGTATATATCAAGAGTCCATATAAGAAGTCCATCAAGTATCCATATAAGTAATAGGAAAATTTCTATTATGTGACTCTGTGATATATATATATATATATAATAAATATATAAATACATATTATATGGGTCGTGGTGTGTGTGTGTGCGTGTGTGTGTGTGTGGTGTGTGTGTGTGTGTGTGTGTGTGTGTGTGTCGGTGTATGTGGTGTATGTGTGCGCGTGTGCGTGTGCGTGTGCGTGTGCGTGTGGCGGTGTGCGTGTGCGTGTGCGTGTGCGTGTGCGTGTGCGTGTGCGTGTGCGTGTGTTGTGTGTGTGTGTGTGTGTGGTGTGTGTGTGTGTTGTGTGGTGTGTGTGTGTGTGTGGTTTGTGT